ATAAAATTAAGTGTGCGTAATTTTCTAATGACAGTGCTTCCTTGCGCCTAAAATTGATAAAATTTAGTGAAATCTTGCCCCAGCCCTAATATCAGAATTTTCAAACAGCCGGTTGACTTTACTCCTTATATATTGGTGATGGTATGTAAAGTACCTTAATGAAACTCAGAGAGAATTTTTTGTTTGTTATTAATATGTAGTAATGTATAATAGTAATATAACATTTTCAAATTATATTTATAACTGAACGTATATTATTGGATATGTTATAGTTTTATTCCGAATTTATGTGAAATTATTCTACGAATTACTCCAACTCCCATATAGTAAATATAATTATTTTCGTTATTCTAACAAACCTTGTGCCGAATATGAGTCAGTGTGTGAGTTTATCTCGAAAATATTATATCAAAACAATTGAATTTAGTGATTGCTTTTAAAAAGGTAAAAATTATTAAACCGGACACATGTTTTGATTTATGTCAAGATGATGAAAATTTTGGGGGGCAAAACTGTTGTGCTGTGCATACGAAAAAGGCTTCGAGATTACTCCAATCCATTGGAACTTCCTAACACCAAGTAAGTCAATGTATTATTGACAAAGCCATTTATAAACAAGCAAAAAAGATATAAGTTCAGGTGGAACCGAACAACTTGCATGAATCAAAGTCTGGAAAATTTCTTGAGGTGCCGGTAAAACTTTATATTAAACAAGTAAGGAAGGGCTAAGTTCGGATGTAACCGAACATTTTATACTCTCGCAAAGTCAAATAGTATACTCGTTGGGGATTTCTTTGTGGATTGACCGATATTTTCGGTAGAAGGTCAACTATAGGCACTGGGGCCACATATTCAGTACTTAGGGGCTTGAACAGTTTTGGTTCGATTTAGACAATTTTTGGCCACAAGGTGGCATACTTTAATCGCATTATTCACGCAAAGTTTTATCCCGATACAGTCATTGTTGCCTGATTTGCATAGTGGAAACATAGTGGAAAGTGAAAGTATCAGATGGAATTTAAAATGGTGTTATATGGAAAGTAGGCGTGGTTGTAATCCGATCGCCCATTTTCGCACTATGACATAGAAACATGAAAAGAACGTTATGCACCGAATTTGGTTGATATCGGTTAAGCAGATCTCAAGATATGGGTTTTCACCTAAAAGTGGGCTGTGCCACGCCCGCTGTCTAATTTTGAACGCGGTTCCTATAAAGTCATCTCATACCATCCCAGAAACCTCTGGCGTGTTTAGTGCTTGATTTATCGCGCTTTTAGTAGTTTTTAGCAGTACCGTTATATGGGGAGTGGGCGGAGTTGCCACCCGATTTCAACTATTTTCACACCGTCAATAGAAGTGCTAAAAACATTTACTTCCAGTGAATTTTGTTATTATGGCATTAGCGGTTTAAGAAATATGCACATAAAACCTATTAGAGGCGGGACCACGCCCACTTAAAAAAAAAAATGTAACTGCAGATGCCCTTCCCTAATGTGATCCTGTGTACCAAATAACAGTCTTGTATCTTATTGCGGAGCTTAGTTATGGCAATTTATTTGTTTTTGCTTAATGGCGTTTTGTGGGCGTGGCAGTGGTCCGATTAAGCCCATCTGCAATACCAACCGTCTCACGGTACCAAGAAACATGTCTACCAAGTTTCATAAAGGTATCTCAATTTTTTACTTAAGTTACAGCTTGCACGGACGGACGGACAGACAGTCAGTCACCCGGATTTCAACTCGTCTCTTCATCCTGATCATTTATATATACCTATATAACCCTATATCTAACTCGATTAGTTTTAGGTGATACAAACAACCGTTAGGTGAACAAAAGTATTATACTCTGTAGCAACAGGTTGCGAGAGTATAAAAATGTTGCGAAAGAATTTAGCATTCGTTATTCGAAGAAAACGTGGACAAATTACAATAAAATTTGGTATCTTCTTGACTTATATTATACATATTATACACATTGACCCATCTTTTCGGTAAAAAGTCAAGTATAGGCACAGGGTAGACATATTCGGTACCTATGGGCTTGAACAAATTGAGTTCGATTCGGAGAATTTTTGGTCATGAGCTGCCGCACTTCAAAGACACTATTTGTGCAGGCTTGTATCTTTAATTGATGCTTTATTTATATACCTAAGTATGAAAGAATCAGATGGAATTTAAAATTGTGTTATATGGAAAGTAGGCGTGGTTGTAGTCCGATTTTCCCCATTTATAGGAATAAATGGAATATAATAGGAATATTAGAGGAATGTACCGAATTTGATTGAAAGAAAGTATATGGTAAGAAAGATTGTGCAAATTTGGATGATATAGCTTTATTGGTTTGGAAGATATACATATACAATAAACTTATAGGGGGCGTGGCCACGCCCAGTTTTTAAAGATTATCAAACCACAGATGCCCCTCCCTAAAATTATTCGTTGTGCCAAATTTGAGTTTTGTGTCTTAATTTACTTAGCTTATCGCATATTGAACGTTTTCTAGTGATGGCGGTTTGAGGGCGTGGCAGTGGTCCAATTACGAAGTTTCATTAAGATATCGGAACTTTTCCTCAAATTATCGCTTGAACAGACGGACAAGCAGACAGACAGTCACTCGGAATTCAACTAATCTCGTCAACCTGATCTATTATATATTATATTTGTATATATCCCTATACCTAACTCGAATACTTTTAGGTGTTACAAACAACCGTTAGGTGAACCAAACTATGATACTCTGTTGCAACATGTTGCAAGAGTATAATAAAGTTTGTTACAGATACACAAGTTATTTTCGTTTAAATAAGGAAGCATTTTGTTTTGTTTTAAGTGAGATGAAGAAACATTTCCACTGTTACGTAAGGAGCGGTTGCATGGATATCGAAAGCATCACAGACTTCCATAGGACTTAAATTATCGAAACTACATAGACTTACCGGGGGCAATGCGTACGTAACGGCAGCACCGGAAAACGTGCTGGAACTCACATCGCTCAACTTAGTAATCCATCAAACAGCCCTTCTACCGAGGGACGATATTATCAAAAGGGCAAACTTCACAAAGATGTTTAAAGTTACCCTCGGAAGTAAGGTCGAATGGAGTAACTCCATGCTTAACCTATTAATGTGAGATCGAAAACGTCGGAAGGCATGGGAGGACCGTCCACTAAACATTCCATATCCATGGGATGTTTTCCGAACATAATCCAAGCAAAAGTCTTTGCTAAAATTAGGTGTGTAAAAATAAATCTCTTTCTCTACTATCGCAAAGAACATATTGCCATACTCAGCGATAGTGAAGCGGTACTCAGGGAGGTACAGGGGTGTATAGAACGTTTGAACGGCCTATCAGTTTGCAACCTGGTGCATCTCATCTGGGTGCTGGGTGATAAAAGGGTCGTCGGAAACAAACTGGCTGACCAATTTGACCACTCTGTACCTGCTTTTAGGATAGTAGGACAGGAACCCTGCATCGCGATGGAAAAAACAGCTCTGCAAATAGTAGAGAGAGTGATTATAACTTCACAAGGTTCCAAAGTATTATAAACATTCCCAAAGACAAATTTCGGTAACTATCGGCATTCTATACTGACCTTTGTCCACTCCTGTTGAACATGGGTATATCCTCTTGTGCAATTTTGCGACATGCAGCCGAAAACTCCGAAGCACCTGATTTTAGACTACACAGCAACCTGTAGACACAGGATTAAGGTCCTTGGATCTATATATCCGAATAGGGATCATGTCGCCTTAATAGCTCCCACCAATATCCTAGAATTTATCAGAGTGCTGGTTCTTTGTTTATTTATTTATTTATTTAAACGCCAATCGGCAATAGACATAGATATAATAAAGAATTAAAGTTTTATACAAAAGTGGCTAGGGTATATTAGTGTAATATCTGGAAAATATTTTAATAATTGTAAGTTAATATGTAATTCAGACTTGATTTAGATGTAATTCAGACGAGCAGGTGTCTCTTAGTGTTTTCGGTAAAAGCAGCGTATGTTCCTCCATAGAAATCAATTTCACCTTGAAGTGAATTTACTAAATTAGCCAGTCTATTCTGAGGACCATGGACAACATAATTTTTTCTTGGATTTCGATGTTTTTAGTAATCTATTTCGCCTCAGGGTAAGACCAGCAGCGGCGAGTTCAAAACTGTTTAGGATCTCATGAGCATCAGTGATGTTATTGACTACTTTGTAGAAAAAGCAGAGGTCAGCGACCTGTCGACGAGAAGACAGTTTGTTTATACAGTAGCACTGGTAGACCTCATCAGTAGTGCAGATGTGACTTGGTGACGATAGTTTATAGGCCAGTGACTTACAGAATTTACGCTGCAACTTTTCAACTTTATCGATTGTCGTGTTAGTGTAGGGAGACCAGATTACCGAACCATATTCCAAAATTGGTAGTACAAGTGACTTGAATAGTCTAATGAGTGTCCAAGGGTTTTTGAAATCTTTACCCCTCCTCAGTATAAAACCAAGGGCTTTGAACGCCTTTGATGTAATTTTGTCTGCGTGGTGTGAGAAGGTGAGCTTATTATCAACAATGATACCTAAGTCTTTTATGTTCTCGACCTCCGCTATCTCAAGCCTATCAAGTTTGTAGCTCGTGCGGATCGGTGAGTGTGAGCGAGCGAAAGATACGGCCGCACATTTGTTTACGTTGAGATATAGCTTGTTCACTCGACACCAGTCACTGAGGATATTTATGTCTTGTTGCAAAATTATGATGTCTGTCTCCCAAGTAATCGGTCTAAATATTTTGAGGTCATCAGCATACAGAAGGAAATCAGAAGCAAAATTATTACCAATGTCGTTGACGAAGATGTTAAATAGTACAGGACCAAGGTGAGATCCTTGTGGCACACCAGAGATTACTTCATATTCACTGGATAAGTGGCCATCTACTCTGACTTGCAAGCGTCTGCCTGTGAGGTATGTACGTATCCAAGCCAATGCACGTCCAGCCACACCATATTTACTTAGCTTATCTAAAAGTATTTCGTAGTCAACACGGTCGAAAGCCTTGCTGAAGTCTGTGTAAATGCTGTGTGTGCAGTTGCCGGAATCCATGGAGTTCAGCAGTTTGTCGACGTATATGAACAAATTGGTAGTGGTGGATCTGCCAATAGTAAAGCCATGTTGTTTGGTTGTTATGATGTTTTCAATTGCCTGACGTATCTGTGGAAGCACTAACCTCTCAAATAGTTTTGCAAGTGCAGACTGTATGCAGATAGGACCGTAGTTGGTAACCAAGGTCTTGGGCCCCTCTTTATGAATCGGTGAGATGTATGACAGTTTCAAGTAGGTCGGGAAGGTACCATGGTGAAGAGATTCGCCAAATATTATATATGTGTCAAAGGCTCACATAGGCCTACCGCACAGTTTTTGAAGAATATGTTAGGTAAACCATCGGGGCCTGAACCTTTGCTGGGGTCGAGAGCAAGGAGTTCTTTGAGTACTGCATCGTAGGTCACTGTCATCCAAGTGTGTGCGCTGTGTACCAGGATTGAAGGTTGCAATACCTGGGTCGTTGCTATTCGATGGCGCGTAGATGCTGTGGAAGAAGGACGCAAAGAGGTTACTGATACCTGGTCCCGTATCTGCTGAGCGGGTCATTCCAGGCTACGGAAGATGGTATGTCACCGGTGTAACGGTTTTTGTCCTTGATAAAATTCCAGAATGCTTGGATCTCCGATTGCAGTTTGTCCTCTACCTTGTCGACATAACTTTTGTAGCAATCGATACTTAACTTTTTGCATTCCAATCTTAACCTGCTGAATCGTAAATAAATTGGCTTAGTTTTCCGAATTTCAGGTGTGCAGATTTCTTCTGTTTGACTTTGTGAATGAGATCATGTGAGAACCAAGATGGATAGTTACTTGACTTGTGTACGTGTACTGAAACAAACTGGTTTACACCTTCAAAGATTTTATAATAGAGAAAGTCCAACTTACTGTCAATAGTCTCGAGTTTGTAGAGGTCAATCCAGTTCGTTCTTAAGAGAGAGGTATTAAGGGCTGCGTAGTTAGCCTTTTTAAATACGTATGATGAGGAATTATCTGGCGTCAACCCCGGCCGAAAATTTAGCAAGATGTCGATAGCAGGATGGTACTTATCTTCTGGGACAAGAGCAACTGCGTGTTCCGGAGAAGAGTCAATGTCACTGAAACAAAGGTCAAGTGTTGAGTTCCAGGCATTTTGAATGTAATTTTGTTGAGTGCACTTTAATGAAGCAAAGCCATCATAAAGTTGCTTTTCACATTGGACACGAGGCAAGTTGCTAGGAATATTGAAGTCGCCGACAATCATGACGTTGGAGTTTTGGTGTTTGTCCATTATAAATGAAACGGTAGCTATGTGGCACTCGAAGATCTCAAGAGTTGATTGAGGAGGTATGTAGATGCAGCCGATGATCATATCGCGAGAAGCTCCCTTGACACGGATGAATATTTGCTCTAAATCGTTGTTTGTTATTGCAATTTGTTCTGTATGGAGACTACGTTTACAGGCGATGAAGACACCACGTGGTACCTGCTCGTTGGTGTACCTGCTCGTTGATGAGAGAAACACGGTCTTTACGGTAAATACTTTATGTTGAATCAATGACTTCACCATCACATATGGATGAGTGAAGCGAGGATTCCGAAATACATACAACGTCGTACTGGTTAGCCGCCAATGCTGTTTAAAATGTTGAGAGTTTTGAACGCAGACCTCTGACGTTCTGGTAGCACAGGTGGACGTAAGATACTTTCTTCTTGCTCATTGAGCGGACGAAAATTTCTTTTAACGATTCTAGGGACACCATGGATATATTTAATTGTGTTACTGTCATCACCACTCTTCACGATTGAATCAAGCTCTTGACGCAAATTTTTCAGATGAAGTTGTTGAGAGGGCTGGTAGGCAGCCTCATATCTACGTTTAGCTTGTCTTCAACTGATGTAAGTCTGTCATCCAGGGCAGAACATTGATTTGATAGCGAGACATTTTGTTCTGACAGTTTGCTTACCTCTTTTCTTAAGTCCTTGATTGCACTTAAAAATGATTTTTTAAGGTCCCTGAACTCACGTTCATAATTTGCTGTAAAACGTTCAAAGTTTATCTTGAATAAGGTTTCAATATCCTTTGGCGGTGGCGGTATCTGTTGTGTTGTATTAACTTTTTTGGGTGGCATTTTGTAAGTACACGATACAGGAAAAAAACAAAAGATATGTTCCAAATAATTCCGGAGTAATTTTTTTATTTTCGTGTATTATCAATGCATTAATTCACTCTATGATGTCTGATTCACAATCAATGTTAATGTTTGTTATGCTTTTTATTATTACACCTCACAATATTACGTCGCACACATCTTTCTTTGTTGTACGAAATTCAATTATGGTTCAATATCAAAATTTAATCGAACTTTTCTTTGTACATCCTTTATATTTTCTTATAAGAATTATTATTTTCTTTTAAGGAAACTTATATGAGGCATTAGTTTAATATTCTTTCACTTTTATATATACAATTGATGTAATATTTTCAGATATTATGGAGCACTTTTCACTATGCAGACTGCACATGTTCACGGCTACCTAACCTTTGTGAGTCCGTTTTTGTTTTATCGACTAGTTATATGAAAGGGATTCTCTGTTGATGTGTTAAAACTACTTTGTATATTTGGCGTACTTTGGTTGCGGTTGCGCATACGAACAAATTGTATACATAAGTACTTCAACAAAATTTGTATTTTCAGTTAAGGGTTTATACATGGGTTTCCTCGAGCAAAAAACGGTTTATTATACTCTCGCAACATGTTGCTACAGAGTATAATAGTTTTGTTCGCCTAACGGTTGTTTGTACCACTTAAACTAATCGAGTTAGATATAGGGTTATGCATATATTAATGATCAGGATGAAGATACGAGTTGAAACTCGGTGACTGTCTGTCCGTTCGTCCGTCTGTGCAAGCTGTAACTTGAGTAAAAATTAACATATCTTATATCATACCACTGCCACGCCCACAAAACGCCATTAATAAAAAATAAATAAATTACCATAACTAAGCTACACAACAAGATACAAGACTGTTATTTGTTATACAGGGTCACATTAGGGTGGGGCATCTGCAGTGGTCACGCCCCCTAATAGGTTTAATGTGCATATCTCCTAAACCGCTAATGCTATAATAACAAAATTCACTGGAAGCAAATTTTTTTAGCACTTCTATTGACGGTGTGAAAATAGTTGAAATCGGGTGGCAACTCCGCCCACTCCCCATATAACGGTACTGTTAAAAACTACTAAAAGCGCGATTAATCAAGCACTAAACACGCCAGAGACATTAAATTTTATCTTTGGGATGGTATGAGATGACTTTATAGGAACCGTGTTCAACATTAGACAGTGGGCGTGGCACAGCCCACTTTTAGGTGAAAACCCATATCTTAAGATCTGCTTAACCAATTTCAACAAAATTCGGTACTTAACGTTATTTTCATATTTCTATGTTATAGTGTGAAAATGGGCGAAATCGGACTACAACCACGCCTATTTCCCATATATCACCATTTTCAATTCCATCTGATTCTTTCATTTTCCACTATGCATATCAAGCAACAATGATTATATCGGGGTAAAACTTTGCGTGAATAATACGTTTAAAGTATGCCACCATGTGACCAAAAATTGTCTAAATCGAACCAAAACTGTTCAAGCCCCTAAGTACTAAATATGTGGACCCCAGTGCCTATCGTTGACCTTCTACCGAAAATATCAGTCAATCCACAAAGAAATCTCAAACGAGAGTACCATTTGACTTTGCGAGAGTATAAAATGTTCGGTTACATCCGAACTTAGCCCTTCCTTATTTGTTTAACATCAAGTTTTGCCGAAACCAGTCTTTGATTATTGCAATATACGAGAGTGTAAAGTGTTCGGTCACACCCGAACTAAGATCTTCCTTACTTGTTATAATTGAAATAAATACTTTGTGCAGTATAAAGAAAAACTGCTGACTAAACGAACAATAAAAAAACTTACAATGTGTACTTAAATTGATTGCAATTTTTGTATTTAGTATATTTCTTCAGATAAGGATTGTCCTAGTTGAATTTCTTATCAGTAATATTTAATTACTATTAACCAATACAGTTCACGCGTTTGCTGTATAAGTATATAATCCATAACTCAAAAAAAAAGGAAAGGTGAAGAATTTCTACAACACTATCTAAGAGTCTAGTTCAAATTGTTGTGCCTGAAAAAAGCTACTTATTTGACAAATTGAGTTCCGCCAAATATAATAATTTTCTGTAAGTGTAGATGTAAAAAATGTATATACATAGTCAACTGTTTCGTTTTTCCTTATTTCCATTAGTATAATACAGTTTTCGGTTGTTTGAGTATATAGGTCTGTATTATCTGTGCTTATGTTTCGGCATACTAATTTTTTTTTGGAGCTATATAATTATTTTTGAAATGACAGACCAGTAAATGAAACACTTCATACTCAAAATATTTTGGAATTTTAAAATTATATACATATTTTGTTTATATATATTTTTCAGTAACTGATGCAAATATATCCATCATAATAACGGAAAAATTCAGTGTAAATAAATTTATGAAACGAATACTGGCGGTTGATGAATGACAAAAAAGCAAAGGAGCTGGATTATATTTTCTGGATATTTTAATTTTCAATAAAACGACGATTATAAAAAAGTGTGTATCATATTAAATAACACTTAGATGCGATCGAAAACCTGAATTTTATAAGAAAAAATATTTATTCGTTGAATTCGTTGAAGATACACTGAAAACATGCCTCTATTTGGCAAAAAAGATTTAAGCAAAAAAATTAAAAAGGAAAATAAGGAGCTTAGTAAACAGGCATCTATAGAAGAGAAGTACAATCTGCATGGATTACTCGGGACGTAAGTATTATTTAATTTCAATTCTATAAGTTTAAAAGTTATAGGTATACAAATATTTAAGTAATTTCTGTGCTACCTTTTTATGCTAACGCTAACACATTTTAAATTAACGGGTGTCCTATACCTGTAATATGTTTTTAAACACGCAAAAAGGAAAACTGTGCAGGAAATGTACTCGTATACGTAGTAAACTAAAATTCCCAAAACTAAGCGAAGTGTTCGGTGTGCAATATTAAATCTGATTTGCTTAATCGATTAGTTCTCAATATAAGTGATTCCCGATAGGCATACAATAAACTCTATAAGATGGTTATGTGTCCGCGAAATTAAGTAGATTAAGAAATAAAATTTCAAAGCAAAGATCGGATTCCATATTATAAGTCCCAAAGAGTTAGAAAATCTTTTACATAGCGAAGAAGAAAATACGAAAAACTATTAATATGGTTAACAAAAGTAAATCTGAGTCAAACATTAAACGTTAACTTTCAATGCATCCATGTTATTATATCCTTCACAAGGGCATTTTTGGTATAAAAGGGTATAAAAATATCTGTCTTGAATTTGATCGATCTGTTTGTAGGTATATGCTATAGTGGTCCGATCTGAAATATTCGTATCGAATTTCGTGAAGGAACGTTATCAAATAAAAAAGTTCTTCATACATAGATTTGAGTTTGATCGGTTATTGTCGTTGTAGCGGCAGAAAACATTTCAGTAGTAATTTCTAGTAATGGTGCCGAGTTGACAGTCCTTGGACGGATAAAAGACCGGGTCCGTTCCAGTTACTTAGACCCGACTGCCGTGGGAACAGTCAGTTTGTATGGTTTGATCGGTTAGTTTGTATGGCAACTATTCCTATAGGGGTTCAGAAATTGTAGCACTGCCTTGATTTATATTCTACGTCGAATTTCGCAAAGATACTTTGTCAAAGGGAGTGCTCCATACAAGTTTTCTTGATAATATTTGTGTGCTCTAGTTAAGAAAGGTACTAGATGCATGAATTTCAACTAATTTTAGAAGAAATCAGTAAAAAGGTAAAAATTCCACAAATTACCAGCATAGTCAAGACCACAAAAATTACTCTCTTGAAAGAGAAAATAGCGTTTAAAGTTTCGCGTAAAACGAAACTACTTCAGGAATGTTTTCTGCCGCTTTAACAACAACAACGCCGGTTCAGCGAAATATCTATATCTTCGAAAACATTTGAATAGTTAAACTGCAAAAATATAAAAAAATCAAAGTCTCTTTATTTGTAGACTAAAATACGCCCTAAACCCACCATATACGAGGTGGGGTACGATATACCCAAGCGTTAAAAAAATCTTTAAAATTTAACGTTAAGCTATTGTAATTTTATGAATAAAAATCTATTCGAATGTAAAAATATTTTGTTTTTTACTTTAACCAATTCATTATAAGTCATAAAAAACAATTTTGCGGATTTTACTGTCTTTTCTAATAGAGGTATAGCAATCCCCACCTAGAACAGCATGGTGAGATTAGTCACCTCGTATACGGTTAACCCTCTGATGTACATAATTGCAAATAAAAAGAAATATAACTACGATACGAAGATTACTTGTTTGAGAAACCCTCATTCAAAGAACGATGTAATTATTATGTTTACCAGAAAAAAAAAAAAATATTACATATATTCCAAGAATTTTTGAATTAAATTCTTAAGTAGTAATACGACTAATGTGATTAAGACTTCTTAAATCTTGTAAGTAAAAACTTCACGTGAAAATAAATATATTAGGTAAAATAATCAAGTCTTCATTCTTGATTTTGGCTTAGCTGATCAATCACTCGGATATTTACTTTATAAATGATCAGCGTGAAATTCCGGTAACACTCCGAAACGTTTTCCGTTGGATGCAAAACATTGGCCGATAACGTTATCAGATTTCGTTATACATGTACCCTATGAAGACACAGTTAGAAGACACTGATAGATATGTGGTGTGATTATTCCGTGTTTACATATGATCAAATGTTAAACCTAGTATTCAAAAATATTTACGTTAGCTTAAGTTTCTGTAATTCTTTTACTTATGATTTCGCAATACTGTTTATCTAAGTTTTTGTATTCTCGTCTCTCTTTTATCATTAATCACGGTTTTGTATTTAAGTTTGTTAATACATATTAGGTACTGTACTTTTAACTCCTAAAAACTATTATGAATATCGCAGGAAATATTTGTACGATCTTCTCCGTTCTGGTGCCAAGCAAATCATTTAAACACAGTAATCTTTGAAACTTTTGGAACTGTATTCATATAAATAGTTTATATTGTAAAGGATTTCTCGATAAATCGTCTACCTTGTAACTCACTCTTGAGTTCGATCACTGGATTGGTAAATAAGAGTCCCAATTTAGTGGCTATACACTTATCTATATTTCAAATTCCAACAACTTAACACTTATTACTCGTTATTCGAGTTTACAACGTATTGCTCTTTACACGTCAACACTCTTATTGGAACTGTGTTTGCTGCACAATCTGGCAGCCCTTATATAGTAGATCTTAAACAAAAGTTCGCCACTCGAATATTCTGGCAACTACGAATTCGCTGTCTTGTTACTTCTGGCAATTTATTATCGATTCGATTTTGTTCTGTAATCCGTGTCCGTCACAATATTATTAAACATTTTGGTGCCTCGTGGTAATCGTTTGTGTTGGGATAACTTCGTGGAGCAATCTGTGAAGCCACTGTTCTCTAATTAGAGAAATATACTCGAGTAGATATTACGATGTGTGGAAGGCTTTGTCAAGTAACGCTCTGATAATATGAAGCAGCTTAAAATAGTTACCCACGAGTCATCACAATCAGTACTGATTATTATGGACACGGTTCATGAATCGTAGCGTGCAATGCGATTAATAAACGCCCTATTACGGAAACACAACATTTACAAGACCTCTTGAAATTCTTAGTCTGCTCATAGCTTGTTTCTTGAACTACCGACCGCATTAAGAGTCTGCCTACTACTACTATTGCCGCGCTCAAAACATATATGTACATATATAAATTAACTCAGCGTACGCAATACATACGTAAATTGTGACATTGACGTTGGTCATAGATGCTATAGAATAACGATTTAATGCGATTAAGATACTCAGGTGTGTTGTAGAATCTCTGATTGTCAGAATCAGAATTGAAACTGATAAAAAAATGCAGTAGGTGTCACGAATTTATTTATTATTGGTTTGATGTTGGAAACAAAAATTGTATCAGTTTTACGTGTCACGGAAACCAATTTTACAGGGTTTATCAGAAACAAAGCAAGAGGATAGTCGCTGACAGATCTGAAATGTACAAGTAAGTTAAAAAAGTTCTTTATATTATTGTTTCAAATTAATTTATCTTTCTATAGTGAAAAACATAAGAATAAAACACAAAATGTCAGAATGATTGAGTTTATGGAAAAAATCTAGATATAATATTTTAAGAGGATTTACAAAACGTAATTAGAGTAATTTAACACCCAAACTCGTCTTTATTTCGGCGATAATGTGATATATTATATATCTGTAAAGTAAGCGTGTATACAAGCATACAAGTAAATACAAGCCAAATTTCACATGCGATTTTGCTGGTGCATCAAGTGAATTACTGTGATCTCTTAATATTTTCCTTTTAATTTTTTCGTTGCTTTTTTCTTAAAAACTTTGTAAACTTAAAAATAATTGCTTACAAATATATTCATTTGGAAGTTTTGTCGCATTAGCAAACGGATGATTCTAATATTGATTTGGTATATTCGAAAAGACGAAAAGCCAATCAGATTCTGTGACACCATTGGACATCAGAATTGGTTTGCAATTCTGACAACTACGCGAATCTTTTTTGGATTCCACAACACCCCTGACTGAGGTGCCGACAACCTCAACGACTCCTGCAAGGTCCCTTACTGCCTAGGTAAAGCCGATAATTCTTTTAGTGCCAGATCGTGCATATTTGAGACGGATCTTCTAACGAATTGTTCGCAGCTGTATCGACTGAAATTTAGTGTGATAGCCCAAGGTGTGTAGGGGCAACGAAGTGGAGGCAGCATTACGTTCACTATGAGATCAACGACCAGCAACTAATATGAGATGCCAGTTGGTTTTGGCTTTAGTTTTTTACAACACCGGTCACAACGTAATTTCTTGTGGTTTTCAACTCTAAACTGAAATCTCACTATACAGCATTCAACGGTTAGGTACTATGCATCAAGATTCTCTTAGTGGTATACTTCTATGTTTTCGACGCTATCGCGCGTCGATAAATGCGTACATGAAAAAGATGTTCAGGCAAGCGAAGCTTGCACCTGAGCAGCGTGACTTTCAAAGAATTATATGGCGAGAGTCTTCTGCAGACGATATCTGTCTGTACCTGTACGGCAGGGCAACAGAAATTACAACGAGCCACCGAGGTTGTACAGATGCGTCTCTCTGGGGCTATTCATTACATGACGATATTTGACGGAAGCGTTCAAAGCTTCCAGGGCTCGATCAAGTGCGTATTCAATGCGGTGAATAGAAATGATTGCACGTTTTCAAACATTGTTCCACGGTCTTTGCGATGCTAGCTCACTCGTCTAAGCAACAGTTATCAATTCAAAGACGATTAAGACAAAATATTCTGTATGTTTTACCACGGTGGCATCACATAAGTTAGTAGTCTGATCTGCGACTCATTCTAGCATGCTATAATTTCGTCAATATTTCGGTTTTCGTTCTAAAATTTGCAGTGTTTTTTTAATATGTAGTACTTTCGCAGAAAAAGTACATTTTTCCAAACCAAGTTACCTGACTACTACCTGAAGACTGTTGCCATCCCAGCCATGGCATTACTTCTAGCCGATACACTTCAAGACGTGCTGTATTTGTTGAAGTTTCCTAACATTTGTCCCTGAAAACCGAAATATAAAAAAAATTATTGTCCATAGTCCAAAAGGTCACGTTATTTAGTTAAATATGGTCGTCAATTGGTAATTGTGTGCCAAGGTTCACACCTTTGATCAATTTTGTAATATCTTAGGCACATGATGTGATGCTACGCAACTCATTGTGTACGGTTGTCGTGGATCGTTTCGGCCATAACTGCCTACTATGCCAGTGTCATGGAGAGATGCAGCAACACAGTTAATTTCGTCTGTACGTATGTCACTAATCAGTACGAACGTCGTAATATTCCTATGTAAAGCCAGAAAAGGCTTAAATAATGAAGTGCTTGACCATAACGATAGTTGTCGTGCCGCCTCTTTGGCGTCAACCGAATCTTAAATGTGTTATTGAAACTGACCGTAAAATCGTAGCTTGCCTCAAGTTCCATCTGATTACACCACTCTACAGCGATACTGATGAGAAATTTGCATTCATAGAATGTCATTTCCGGACCAGGTCGCTTTTTCTTTCTCTAAACAGTGATCGATATTTATCACTGCAAAAAAACAACTATGCAACAAAAACCAACGTAAAACAACAGTGAAAGAGTGTGGTTGTTTTTATACTCTCGCAACCTGTTGCTACAGAGTATAATAGTTTTGTTCACCTAACGGTTGTTTGTATCACCTAAAACTAATCGAGTTAGATATAGGGTTATATATATAAGTGATCAAGATGAAGAGACGAGTTGAAATCCGGGTGACTGTCTGTCCGTCCGTCCCTCCGTGCTAGCTCTAACTTGAGTAAAAATTGAGATATCTTTATGATACTTGGTAGACATGTTTCTGGTACCGTGAGACGGTTGGTATTGCAGATGGGCCACTGCCACGCCCACAAAACGCCATTAATCAAAAACAAATAAATTGCCATAACTAAGCTCCGCAATAAGATACAAGACTGTTATTTGGTACACAGGATCACACTAGGGAGGGGCATCTGCAGTTAAAATTTTTTTTTTAAGTGGGCGTGGTCCAGCCCCTAATAGGTTTAATGTACATATCTCCTAAACCACTAATGCTATAATAACAAAATTCACTGAAAGCAAATGTTTTTAGAATCTCTACTTACAGTGAAAATAGTTGAAATAGGGTGGTATGAGATGACTTTATAGGAATCGCGTTCAATATTAGTCAGTGGGCGTGGCACCGCCCACTTTTAGGTGAAAACCCATATCTTGGGATTGGCTTAACCAATTTCAACCAAATTCGGTACATGACATTCTTTTCATATTTCTATGCTATAGTGTGAAAATAGCGAAATCGGATTATAACCAAGCCTACTTCCCATATAACACCATTTTAAATTCCATCTGATTCTTTCACTTTCCACTATGCAAATCAGGCAACAATGACTGTATCGGGATAAAACTTTGCGTGAATAATGCGATTAAAGTATGCCACCTTGTGGCCAAAAATTGTCTAAATCGAACCAAAACTGTTCAAGCCCCTAAGTACTGAATATGTGGACCACAGTGCCTATAGTTGACCTTCTACCGAAAATATCGGTCAACCCACAAAGAAATCCCAAACGAGTATACAATTTGACTTTGCGAGAGTATAAAATGTTCGGTTAGATCCGAACTTAGTCCTTCCTTAATTGTTTAATTATACAAACATATACTCGCCAGAAAAAGTCTGCGTACACGCTAATATCTTATTTTCTTTTGTTAAAAAATAATTTTTATATAAAAGAAATTAAGAGCATTATCATATTAAGTGATTTGTTACTAGTCTATTGCATAATCCCATAGCATTGTAATCAATAAAAATCTGACACCATAGCTTTATAGATAAATCGGAATTACCTACGTAATAACCAAATGTAAATGTGTCAGAAAGTTATAGTTTTTTAGAAGTGTTTTCGTACAAGTAGCAATTTTAAAAGATTTTTGTTCCATTTGCAAAAAAGGGTTTTATGGTAAAGTCGCCCACAAAAACTCAGTCATATCGCTAGTCAATAGGTAAGTGCATAAGGTTGCCGTCAAAGAGCACTTAAATAAGCCCCGGTAGCAGAAAGTTATTGTTTTCGATGAGAGCAGGTTTTGCGTCTTTGGAATCGAGGGGCGAAAGATTTTGCAGCGAAAAACGGGTACTGCACTCTATAAGGAAATCTTGATGCATACTTTGAAGAGCGGTGGGGAAGAAGCAATGATATGGGGGTGTATAGCTAGTAACTGTGTGGGATAAAAGGAATTTATAGAGTCTACAATGGTTAATTATGCATACCTTAATATCGTTAAAAAAACTTTTAGAATTTGGTCTTGAAAGTGTTTCCTATTTTCTACAGGATAGCGAACCGAAGCATACAGCAGACCTTGTTAAGCTTAAGCTCTACCAACGCACAATTACCTCAAAGGATATGCTCAATGATGTGCTGCACGAGGAATGGGCTAACATCCCTTCGACAGAAACCTCTTAGCTTGTATATTCCATGCCAAAACCATTAGCGGAAGTTTTAACACGTTGGGGATATCCAACTTCCAAATGAATTGTTTTTTATAAAAAGTATTTTTTCCAACAACTCATTTTTGTTGGTACCTTGTACGCAGACTTTTTCTGCCAGTGTACGCCTGCGTGTATTGAAAATTATAGGCAAAACATACAGTCAAAGACAAAAGTTTAAATACATCATTAAAATTTCATTTTTTATTGAAAAAAACTATTTTAACAAAAATGTAAGTAGGAAGTTTATTTATAGTAAATTATTTACTTACATTGAAATTTAAAAAAAAACTTTCAATGTAGCTTAGATAACAGTAAATTCATCAAAAACATAAAATTACACGGGACAAAAGTTAAAATACGTTACATAGAGTTTCATATCGTAACTAAATTAAACTAAAATATAGGTCATAAAATATATTTAGTATTTTGTTGGTCCACCTCGTGCTTCAATTACTGCTTTTAGACGGCGTTGCATAGATTTTCTGTTTCCGATGGCGCCATTTTCGACCATGCCTATTTCAGAGCTTCTTTCGTTCGTGCCAATAGCTCCCAAACATGCTCAATCGGGTTCAAGTCTGGTGATTGTGGCGGACTATAGAGTTGAGGAGGAGCATAATACAACAGCCATTTCTTCACCAAACCCGCGGTATTCTTAGGATCATTGTCTTGTTGGAATATCCAAGAACTTCCGAGGCCTAAGCAATCCACCAAAGACTGCATATGTTGTTCAAAAATATTTTTATAAACATATTTGTTCATTATACCATCGATAAACGTTAGATGTCCTACGCCAGCTGCTCCCATCGCTCCCCAAACCATTACGCTACGCCCACCATGCTTAACGGTTGGTATTACATTTTGGGTTTGATATGCTGTTCCTGTTTTACGCCAAATTTTTCTACGACCATAGCTTCCGAAGGGGTTGAACTTAGATTCGTCAGTAAAC